ATTAGGTTTCTTGATCAACAAGTTTCACATTTTGACCTATCTTGATGGATTTTGACCCTTGGCACTTGATTTTGACCAAAAAGTCAAAGTTTGACTTTTCAGTGTATAGTTGATTTTTGATCAGTTGACTGCAAAATTCATCTGTCAATTCTATGCACTTGAGATCTTTTGAACTAAGTGATTAGGTCAATATTATGCCATTGAGTCCTTGAAATCATTCTTGAACCCAATTGGTCATTGGCTAGGTCAAAAATCAGAAATTGCCCTTTCTCAGTCAAAACCCTAATTTTGACCATTTTGCCCTTTTGATGATCTGATCAAATTTCTTGAGGAGTTGTGGTCCAAACTTGATCAAATGGTACATAGGAGCCAATAATGTTGTTGGGGATCAAAATTTATGAAGTTTGACTGTAAATTGGCCACAGTTGACTTTTTCCCCAATACAGCTGATTTTTAGGTCAACTGTCCAATTGACTGGGCAAAAATGTGATTCAAGGCTTGAAACTTGTCATGAGCAATCTTAAGCGTCCAAGATGGTGTATGAAAGTCACATGAAGCATTGATGGTCCAAAATTCCTTGTGCAAACTCAAACCCTAATTTCAGGTCATCAGTTCAAGGAGATGTCTTAAGCTGAGCAAACCCTAATCCTGTCTGGAGTCTTAGAAGTCTTGTGAGAAAAATCTGGATAATACGAGAGGGCAAATTTTAGGGTACAACAGTGGGGCTTTTTGTCTTTTTCTTTAATCACTTATTATTCATTTCATTTTTCATTCATTTTTATATTACCTTTTCTTTCTTCTTGAACATGTCGCGTGATGTTGAGTCATTTTCGACTTGTTGGAAGAATTATGACTGCCCTATTTCTTGGAAGATGAGGGATAACTATTGTTGTATCATCGTCTACTGACTTTTTGATGTGCGATAGATACTCATTGGGGTATCGTCAGTTGACGCCCACTCTTGATAAGTAAAGGTTAGCCATTACAATTTTGTGTCTCTTCAACCTTTTGAAGGATAACCATTGTTGTATCCTTAGATGCACATTTCTGATGAGTTTCGAATGCTCGATCAAATTAACTGAACACTACCCTGCCCCAGGTTAAAAATGAGGGTTTTTCTAAAATAGAAAAGAAACTCCTACTTCAAGGCTCAAAGGGGTTAACGAGGGTTTCACTCCCTTATATCTCCGGTGTTTGGGAATTTGAAACAATGCATGTATATCGTCAACAGAGTTTTATTCAAAAGCATACAACCAGAAATTTTGCATTTTAAATTCATCATCCTCCCTCCAAACCATGCTTAGGTAAGAGAATGGATAACAAGTTGGTATCATAATGCAAAAATCAATTAAACATTAAAAATAAACACGAGTGAAACGAATGAATTTCTTCAAGACAAACATATTCATTATATTAAGATAATCATTCAAATGTAAACAAGTTCTTACATGTAAACAGTATGATGATTAACAAGAATAATTACAAATGAGAAATCAGTAAAATTTCCAGTAAACATGAGAAAGCTAATCATCTTTGAAATCCAGGGCATTATTCAATCACGTTTATTCTTCGGCAAAGACTTGGCTTGAACTTCGAGACAAATATCTTTAAGTGATAAGATACCACTTCTGACCAATTTCTGGACTTCAGCTTTCAATGGATAACATTGTTCAATATTATGCCCAGGGGCTCCCTGATGAAAAGCATAAGTCAAATAAGCTTTGTATTACCAAGGTATCTTCTTAGGAATCTTCGTTGGAGGTCGGGTTTGAACCAAATTCTTCTCCATTAGGATAGGAAATAACTCTGCATAAGTAATTGGAATTGGATCAGACTGAGCTTTCTTATGATTAGGAACTTGCTGACTCTGTTGAAAAACTGGAGCAACAAGAGGTAAACTGAACACAGGGATGACAAAAGAAACATGTTGATTCTGACGATGATTGTTTCTTCCTCTAGTTCTCTTCTTGGAAAAGTTATTATCAAACTTATTCACACTACTAGTTGTGCCACTTTCTTCAGATAAACATTCCTTTCGGACATTCTCTTCTAGGAGCACTCCCACATTCACTTCTTCTGGGAACTCACCGGGTGCGTTGACTATCACCTTCTCATGAAAGAATGATTTCAGAGTTTCTGTGAAGACTTTTGCCATCTCTTCTTCCTTCCTAGAAGGATTGACTTGGGCGGCAACCAAAGTTTTAACCAAAGCAGTTAGATATTCCATATCAGCCTTCAAAGAAGCTACCTCTTTGCGGAGTTCAACGATCTCTTGCTTAATGATTTCCATCTTCCCTTAGCACGAGTGTTGTACTGATGAGACAACTTGATTCTGAAGATCAAATGACCTTGAGTAAGACTTCTATGGAACTCATGAGATGCATAGTCAAATGTGACATGATATATGACATGTAATGTAAATGCCATGCTTTTGTTTCCAAAAGTTTCTACGCTTTGATTCCAGTTATTAAGCCACAATATTATTATATATTTTTTCATGTATTTACTATATATAATTTTTTTGATGTTTATTTTTTGTCTTAACAATTGGAATCAAGGAAGTAATGTTTGGAGAAAAAAACATGTATGTTGATAATTATATTAACATGCTATGTATGCAAACATATGGGATCAAAGCTTCTGCGGTACTGGATAACTGCTGAACCGATAACAGAACCACTGTCATATATAACACAATCAAAAGTCTGGACCAAATCAGAATACCAAGGATCAAAGTTATCAATATAATCAGAGTCACCAACGGAACATGTATAGTCACCATCTGGACCTGTAAAGATTATTCCCTCTCCACTCACGGGTAATGACTAGGTCATGGTAAGGTCAATGGTAACTCAAAATCGAGGGTACTCTTGAAAAACTATCGCCATATCACCTACGTGAAAATGATAGCCCCTCATTTGTACCTCATCTGAGTGTGGACGACATGGTGGCATAGTGAAACCTAGGTCAACTAGCCGTTCATGTTCCACTCTATTCCTAGTGTTCCTATTGTTTCCACTTGGCCTGGGTATTGGGCATTTTACCTCATAGTAACATCCCACCCATCAAGAAATAGAGAAACCAACACAACAACAATATAACAAATAATAATAAAGATGTAATGCAAACATATGCTCAAACATATACAAATGAATAATCCATAAAAGCATAATGATAAACACCCTAAGAAAAGAAAAACGGGAGCTAGGAGTGACTCACGGGATGGACCAGCAATTGGCCGTATTGGTATTCCCCAGTGAAGTCGCCATTTTTCTGTAGCGGTAAAATCAATGAAGTTGCCACCGAGTATTTATTTATCCCATATGAAAGGGAAAGTAAAATCATCGAAGAAAACCTAAAGGGAAAAATCAAGGTCTTGCGACCGAGAGATTGGGTAAGGGAGTCGATTACGCGAGGGGAAGGTATTAGGACCCCACACGTCCATAGTACTCTACGGGATCCACTCTCGTTATTCTAATTGAAGGGTGTGTTCAATCTAATGCTTAAGGGTTATGAACTAAGAGAGAATGCATGCAAAGAAAGGAGAAATAATGTAGGGAAAATAAAATTGTACTCGCTTGGGCCCTACCCCAATGCCTACGTATCCTTTTTGAGGAATCAGAGCTACCGTAGTTCGGCTCATATATTTTGTTTGTTTGTATTTTTTAAATGAACAATGTTGCATTCGATCATTCCACCGCTGCTCGACCTTTGGAGACTTATGACCTGTAGTGGAAAGGAGCTAACATGCTCTTGGAAGAGAAAAGCCGAATGGCGAAAAGAAATGGATTGGTTGGTATTTTTTACCATGAAAAGAATTCTTGTATGATTAGCATTTTTTATACATTTGCCAAGAAAAAAGAAGTTTTAAGTGCAATTATGCAAAAATGGGAAGAAAACATCTAAGGGAGACTAACCTATATCTAACCTAATGTTATCATACGATGAGGGATCCTATCTAAGTTAGAATTCCAAAGAAAGTCTAACAAAACTATCCTATAGGGAACATGCACTGAGAGCGAAGTCGTGATCTCAATTTCTAAATTGAGTGACTCATCTATCAACAAGAAATAAAGGAAAGCGATAAAATTCTATAGGGAGCATGCACTGAGAACGAATTTGTGATCTCAATTATTAAATTGAGTGACTCATCGATCAACAAGAAGGGAAGCAAACACAAGCACAACACATAACATAAATAAAGTGTGGAATGCCTGCTACAGGTCTTTAAACAGCGACTTCGAGCACACGCTCTTTATTTCCTACTTCTCATGATATCTAGAAAAGAGATAAATGCGTAAATTTAACATGGAAGCAGTGTAATACCAAGAGAACAATGACGTCCGCAAAAAGTGCAACCAAAGTAAAGAAATCTGAGATACTTCGCGCGAGCTGGCATCGACAAACAAACAGTCAGAGTTCGAATATTTGGAATAAGTGTCGCAACTTCGTCGATGTGAAAATAAATCACAATCGGAATCCAAAACACATCCGCATATCAAATAATGAACCTGCATAAGACTCAGCTTAACAAACAAAGGTGAATCGCAATTTTCAAGTAATCGAAAGATTATGAACTAATTTCCTAAAATCAAATAAAAAGCCTAAGAATTTTTAATTTGTATTTTTTTATCATTAAAAAAAAATCTAAATTCTATTTATTTTTTTGTTTTATTATATATTCTATTACTATTTTTATTATAAAAAAGAAAATTAAACTAAAAAAAAAAAACTAAAACTAAAGAAATAGAAAGAGTCAAGGGGTGCAAGCTGAAATTCGTGAGTGGTGGAGAAATCTGATGGTACAAAGTCAGGGCGCTAGGCCCAATCTGCATGAGTCCAAGAAGTCTATTTTTGTTGACATTGTTTCAGGCTTCAATAATCAAATTTCGAACAGCAAGGCCCAAGGAATTTACCCTCCACTACCATCCAATTTCCAACAGATTTACTCAGCTTCTGACTTTCTTAAAATTATAATAAAACGAAAATGTTAAACTAAGATGAATGTATACGGTGTCGTTTCGCTTAGCACGACCCTTCAACTTCTTTACTCACCTCTGATTCTCTTTCTCGTTTTCAAGCAGCGATTTCCGGCAAGCATGCCGCCGCGAGCGCCACCACTAAACCAGTCTAAATCACCATGGTCCAACACGTACCTACCCTAAGACAAAACTCTGAATCCAGATTCACCATCAATTTCTCCTAAAAACCCTTCATATGGCCGAATCGACGAAGAAGAACAAGGAACCCTAATCTTCAAAATGGCGTGTATTCTGGCCAAATACCACGATTCGAGTACTGTTATCGCTCGTAGACACCAAAGCACATCATAGTGTTTCAAGATTGATCAAGAAGCATATGTAAACGATCCTGATTAGAGCCCCTGATGTTCCAGTGCAGTTGTGTTTCGTCTCAATCGCAGATTTCAGGTTCGAGTAGTTCTTCCCTCCTTCTTGTTCGTGGCTGATCTGCTCCAGCTTTGTATTCACTCAATTATGATCTCTCTACTCACAGATTTCAATGGCTAATATGAACATGAACAAATCAATATACGAGAATTGAAGCTTCAAAGTTTACCTGCCGGAGAATAGTCTGGTGCTTCTTCAATTTTAATCAGGTTTGTATCTCTTTCATCTTTTTGGCTTTTACTCTTCTTCTGCAATTCCGCAAAGTCGTAATTCTGAGCCTTCTTGTACCTCTTGGTTTCTGAATCGCGTATGTTGTGACAATACATTTATTCAGTGAAGGCTAAGGATGCACCATTCGCTGCTGCAGGTATGCTTGCTGGAGAAGGTTGATGAATACGGAGCGGTTGAAATATTAAGATGAGATGAAGATGAAGACTGAGGAGTATAGAGGACTTTTGCAGAGAATATGAAGATTGGAGTAGTTATAGTGGCGTGAAGATGATGATGAAGTGTGAAGGTGATGAGAGTTGAAGCAGATAATGATTCAGAGAGAGAAGAAAGTGTCGTTTGAAAGGTTATGAAGGTTCATTGTTGAAGATGAGGTTGAAGATGAAGAATGGAGGGATTGAATATGGTGAGTTTCTGGTTTGATATTCTGTTAGTGTTTAGCAAATTCTATTAGAGGTGAAACAAAATCTGAGCCATTCGTGATGGATTTCTGTTAGAGAAATGAAAGGTGTGATTAGAATCCGTTAGAGTCTTTTTTTTTAATTCTCTTATGGTTAGTTTGAAATAGGGAAGTTAGAAGTTAGTTGGAGGCTGAAATCCTGTTGGTTAGTTGGTTAGAGCTGAGCTGGAATTTGGTTGGGAACGAATTCTGTTAGAATATTCTGTTATGGAGGTTATAGGTTGTTAGGAGATGGTTACAGGGCTGTTAGGAAACTGGTTTTTGATGGTTGAGAGGGTGAGAAACGGTTAGGTTAGTTAGGGGTGGTTTATGCTAACTGGAAAAAAACGAACTAATAAAGGATAATTGAAGCATCTGGGTCCCAACTTTTCATGTAACCGCATTAAAACTGAGAGAACATATTGCACCAAAAATGGCAGGAAGTTTGATGAATGGCCTTTGGTATCCAAGACCTTCCAAAAAAAAGTGAGAGAAATTCCCTAAACTTCATAGGCTCAAGCTTCGTGATAAAAAATGCCTTTCCAGCCACATAAACTGTTTGGAAATTTAAGGCTTCTTCTGCACAGATATGGGCATGAGCAACATTCTCATAAAAGGTGAAGTCTGACAAATTATCACCATTTCCTATAATAAACTTTGTGAAACCATATCTTGATAACTTGAGAAAATATGGCACAAATTCTGTGTCACTAGGACCAAAGACATTACTAGGACGAAGTGAGCATGTCAACACTTCATCAATATCATTGGCATCCAAGACCAAGGCTTCTGCCTGAGCCTTAAGGCCTATTAACATGTCATCAACTTTCCACTGATATGCCGATGATTTAACTCCATTATGCAAATCATCAAAAATAACATCTGAAGAACTGTTGTATATCATACGTTTCACTTTACATTCTCTGCAAGCATTAATCACATTCTTCGCACCTTGAACTATCAGCTTATAGCAGCTGTAGAAATCATTGTCATAACTGATGCCATCAATATCCATATAAAAAACAACGGAAGAACCTTCAAGAACTTTGGCGACACGATGATATGGCTGGTTTTTGGATGTAATTGAATTTTGGTTTATGGACTTTGATGTAATATATTCATAAGTTGGATTGAAATTGTCACTTTTATGTAATTTTGAATGGTTGAAAGTGTAAATGTTCTTAGTTCTTAATTTTGTAATAGCCATGGTTGAATCAAGAAAAGAGACTTTGAATTAATTCACTTGTCTTTGAATTTATTCTCTTATGCTTACGTCTTCTCAAAATGTATCTTGAATGAATCGCGATCCCTTCTTTAACCTCAAGTTCAAAATCTTCTTTTTTGTATCTCAAACATAATCCAAATTCTAAGCAAAGCCAATTGATGAATCACTTATATTATGAGTACAAGAAAACCAAGAAAATTATCCACAAGCTCTGTAACATCTCTCGCATATATCTTGTTCTTCAAGCAAGTTAAATGACCTATCCTTGAATCACATTAAAAACTTCTATTCCATGTTCATCTTAAATCGATCCTTAATGCAACTCAAGCGTTCATGACAAGTTGAAACTCAGTTGGCTTCAAATGGCATGCTTGGTCAATGAACCTTAATCTCAATTGAATCTATAAATTCTAGTCATCTTGCATTTGAAACAACCACCTTTCATTTGATAAAATGAGCTAAATAAGCTCCTGACCCTATCTCGAATCAACCGTTAACAAAGTCATGAACTTAATAAGCCCTTGAATCAATATTAACTCTGAGAACGATTAGAAGTTTCAACAAATCCAAGTCACTAGTCATCCCTCTCAATAGCCCAAGTTAATTCGTAATTGAAGTAACAAGTATTTGATGAGAACCAAAAATTGTATCATTCAAAACAAGTCCACAATGTTGAAGAAGGAGAACCTCAAGATAACTACAAGATCGAGCCCTAATCCAATGATCCCCAGTTGAAGCATAACAGAAGAAAACCCTAATTCTTAAGCATTGAAGAAAGATTGCAACCTGATGCTGAGGAGAGAGAATATCCCTGTAGTTTGATGATAAAGAAGTCTAGGAAATAAAATCCTAGTTCGAACAAATGCTTGATGGAGAAATCAACCGAAACAAACTTGTGCGGAGATAAGAGCCTTAAAACCATACAACAAACCTGATTCCTCGGAATCCCTGATCCCAAGCCATACTATCGACTAATAATGCATGATGCGTCAGATGACCTAATGAAGGTTATGTACCTCAATCTCAATTAAATCCACAGATTCTAGTCCCCTTGTATTTGAAGCGACCAACCTCCATTCAGAGAGAGAAACCCTAATGCCAAAGCTCTTCGATCTTATAACCATGAGACCAATGCTATGTGCGAAATGTACAAAGCATGATGAGGGATCTTAGGGGCAAAAATTGGGGTACAACAGTAGTGTATGTTCAAAACCCGATGATGACAAACGCCTTGATACCAGAGTTAAAACATTATAGCAGCAACTACACACTAGAACGAAACCATTAGTGTATATAAGTGTTCTCTAAAATAATATATAAAAGTTATCATCAAAATCTGAAGGCTAGATGTAGAAACACTTCTTGTTTTTACATGCTAAACTTTATTCATTGGCAAAAATTACATTTTTTTGCTCTAAACTAAGCAAATAATTATTTCAATCTATGAGAAGTCTTTGAAATTTCACACGATTGCTCTGGAGGTAAATACCTTGTCATTACCAATGCCTCCAAACCCTTTCTGCTTCCACCCTATAAATATACATGGATCCCATATGAACAAAATAATCAAGCATAAATCGATACCATTTATGGGCTGTAAGTTGTTGTGTTTTTTCCGTCGTACCTCCATCTCCGCTCTCTGGTCTTCTCCCTTGGTCCTGGTTGTAGCAGTCGCAGCACTTTGTGTTCGATATGAAGCAGATTTCAAATTGTTTTTACTGTAATGATTTTGAACTAATATTTGAATTGATTGATTGATTTTATGAACAATTAAGTTTTGATTTGGTTATTATCCCCTTCCCTTTTGCTCAATTTTTAAGGAAACTCTTCACTTTTAATTTTAAGCTTATGTTTCTTTTTCTTTTCGGCCGGAATATATATTCTTTTTGGTTTTTCTCATTGTAGACAAAGTTTTTGGCCCGACTTGTGTTACAGAGATAGTATACGAAGAAAAGAAGGAGTAAAGAATGTCGCATTGTCTGAATTGATGGAGATTAATGGTATTGTATTAGACATCAGATATCTATACTGTTATCACTGTGTCTTGATCTCACTTGTGATTTGTGTTTTTTGATAGAGACTCACATTGCATACTTATTTTGGTGTAGCTACTATTTTTTATTATATCTTCATCCTAATGCAATTGCTGAAGAGCAAATGTTGCACAATGATGATGAATGTTGACTCTATTTTGTTGACTCTATTTGAAAATGACAATACTCTATTCTAAATTACCTTGATGTCTTGATAATTGTAAACCAGAAAAAATATAGCAGTAGTGATTAGTGTGAGGGTCGATTTAACTATGCTTAAGAATTGGATAAATGATTTGGCCTATTGGATAAACTATAAGTATAGGATCCGCTAGAATTTGTTCAGATTTTACTTTTATTTGTATCTGAAACTTCCTTATGTCATAGATCTATTCTTTAATTTGTCGTTTTCCTTTACAAATTTATTTATCAATGACTTTTAGTCAAATTATAATATTGCTTGAATTAAAGTATTATATTTATTTATTCTGATGATGGAATTGCTTGTTAGAAGTTTTAATATTTAAAATTTTAATATGATTTTAAAAAAAAAATATCTTTCCTCATATGTAATAATGTTTCTCTATTATATTTTTTTTGGTTCTTTTGGTTTTCGACAATTTCAGGCACAAATTTTGATCTTTAGTGAATATTGTAATATTTTTATATATAAGAATAAAAAGGAGGGTAGAATAGTTAAGAAATTGATCACCAAATACACAATAAATATCATAATTATGTCGATGAATATTTGTGGTCTTTCCGTGTCTTTCATATTCTATTATTTTTATTTATATAATAAAATAATATAAAATAGTAAAATTACATTTCAAGTAAGAATTATCAAATTTATTATTTTTCTTTATTTATTAACTATTATAAAAAAAATATCACAACAATAAATGTCATAATTATGTCGATGAATATTTGTGATCTCAACATTTATCGATGAATATTTGTGACCTCAACATAATCTAGAATAAAAGGAATAATTATAGTCTTAAAATTTTGAAATAAAATATAGTAACAATAATATGAAATATTAAAGTTACATTGAATTATAAAAAAAAAAATTTAATTATTATAAAAAAAATCACAACAATAATGTTTAGTTTTTTAAAAAAAAAATATCTCATATAAGATGACAATACCATTATTTTCAATGAATCACATTTATATGCATTTAAAATAGTAATGGCTATTAAGTTAATCAAATATATTTAATATTT